AAATCCATTAAGCAGTGCGATGGACTTGGAATCGCCACCTCTATTGTATGTTTGTATTCGCATTTTAGTTGGATTTGGTGCCTAAATAGGATTGCAAGGCTTGCCCCAGTTTGACCATACAGTGTTTACAAAGTTACTTATTGGAGAAGATAGTCTAACCTTTTCTATCAAATAAAAAGCTGAAAGTTTGACAGCTTCTCTTTTTATGTTCACAAATAGTTCGCCTTCTCTTTACCCTTTTTTGTAGTTCAACAAACTTATCCATGTAGAGTTAGATGTAAAGTTGTGATCTTTCCGGATAAGAACTATTGGTTATTTCTTTATTATGAATATCAATGTATGGCACATTGATCCTTTTCATTAAATCTGTATATTGCAGGACAAGGTACGGAAGGCAACAGGGATGCAAATAGATGCGCTACAAGATGGTTATACTGACAATGAGTTGTTTTCTCTCACTTCCATCAAGGTTTGCTTTCATTTCACAATCTACCTTGGCATGTTGATTTTTTTTTGTCTCGGGAATCAGATTTCTGATTGAGGAGCTTTTTTTCGAGCCTTGAAAGTTCATTTTGATGGGCCTGTGGGGAAGTTAGATTATATTTTTCAAGTCCTTGGTACAATATAAAGGCTTCTATTTCATAATTTTTCTTCTTTTCATGAGCCATTGGGACTTTAATATACTTGATTTATTTATTTGTTCTGAAACAGAAGAGCATGAAGCTATTATTTAAATATTTAAAAATGGTATTACTGTTCTCTATAATTTGGAAATACCCATATTTTTTATGTTTATAATTTTGCAATAGATGTTTCAAGCAGAACTAGTATGCTACTAGCTTACTATTAGTTGGCTTTTCTTTCTCCCATTGTCTGTTGACATTTGAAAGGATTTCATTTTTTTCTCATCAAAGATCAAAATCTTTCTTTTTGTTTTTATGTTCCTTAATTTTTTCTTGATGGAGATAGCAGGTTCTGACTTTACCAACTCTATGTATAAATATGAATGCATATCTTGACTGCATTCTCGTCCTTCAGGGTAAGAATGATCTGGTAGTGGTTGATTCCACTGAATATGATGGTGAGAATGGTGACCTTGGAGATACTGAAAATGAGGAAACCCATGAGAATACCCAAGAAACATCATCCAGTGATATGGACTCTGATGATGAGCGCAGAAGGTTATTCTTCTTGTACCTTATATTAGCATTAGATAAAAAAATAATTCTATCATCTGTATTAAATCACGTATTACCATTTATGATGGTAGATATGATGCACAAATGGAAGATCTTTTCGATAAGGCCTATGAACAGTACACCTCCAAAAAGGAGGGAAGTGCAAAGCAGCGGAAACGTTTAAAACAAGCACATTCTGAGGACGCTCAACTTTTGGAGGTATGAAGTTTTCATTATGCGTGGTGATATAAACAAAAACACTTTAGGTATGGTCTCATGCTGTGGGTCTGTAGGGGAGTAGTATTACATAAATCTCAATATCTTTCTGCAGAATTTTTTCTTTTTTTTTATAGGCATGAGCGCATGGATGATAAAAGTATTTATATCTACAGCACAATACTGCTTGTGCTCATAAATTTATTTATTTATTTATTTGGCCACTCAGGATGTTGATGGCAGTGATATAGTTCAGTCTGATTATGATTCAGACAAAGACCAGGGTATTCAGGAATCAAATCCTCTCTTGGAATCACTTGATGAGGGGGACGGACCTACCCAAGAGGAAATTACAAATAACTGGTTTAGTCAGGATATCTTTGCCGAAGCTGTAGAGCAGGGGGATTTGGATAACTCTGGTAGTGAAAATGAAATGCAGGTTGAAAAGCGGGAGAAACTTCCCGTGCTAGAAAAGACCAATGAAAAGACTGCAATTCAGAATGGTAAGGAAAAGACTGCAATTCAGAATGCTAAGAAAAATACTGGAGATGATGCTGCAGGGACCAAAGGCCATAAACTTCAAGCTTCAAAGGCTGACGATGATTTTGAGATTGTCCCTGCTCCGGGTACAGATTCAAGTGATGACTCATCATCGGATGAATCCGAGGATATGGATATAGATAAAAAAGCCGAGATACTGGCGTGTGCTAAGAAAATGCTGAGGAAAAAACCAAGGCAACAGATGCTTGATGATGCCTATAACAAGTACATGTTTGATGATGATGGCTTGCCCAGATGGTTTTTAGATGAGGAGAAGAGGCACCGTCAACCAATTAAACCTGTGACCAAAGAAGAGATTAATGCCATGAAAGCACAATTTAAAGAAATTGATGCCCGTCCTGCAAAGAAGGTGGCAGAGGCTAAAGCTCGAAAGAAGCGAGTTGCCTTTAGGAAGCTCGAGAAGGTTCGGAAGAAGGCAAACACAATATCTGACCAGCCAGACATCTCTGATCGTTCAAAGAGGAAGCAAATTGAACAAATGTATAAGAAGGCTGCGCCTAAAAGGCCTCAAAAGGAGTATGTGGTTGCAAAGAAGGGAGTTCAAGTCAGGGTTGGCAAGGGTAAAGTCCGTGTGGATAGACGGATGAAAAAGGATGCAAGGGGTAGTGGGCCGGGTAAAAGGCCTGGAAAAGGCAATTCGAAGAAAGGAAAAACTGCTGCCAAGGGTGAGAGAGGAGGCAAGGGTGCCGGAAAGGGTGACAGAGGCAAGGGCCCCGGAAAGGCTTCAGGAAAGCCAACAGGCAGGAAGGGTAGGAAGTGAGAAAATATGGGCAAGCACGACTGAGCTTCCGCGTAATAGCATGTTCGTTAGCTTGCACGATTGATTTTGTTTTTCTTCTGCTATCTCATTTTTGTTTATTGGAATAAGTTATAATTGTGAGTTATTTGTTGTAGCCATCGTGGTTAAAACCTTAATCCTTCAGCAACGGAACAGTCTTTTTGTAAAGTTATGAGGGTTTTTACTTGGGTTTCTGTAGTTTAAACATAAACAGTTGTCGGTTAGTTCCCTTGGTGACAAAGAAGTTGAAATTTTGCTACCGTTAGTTTGAACAATTTCACTTGTCCCTTAACTTGAACTTTGGAATTTTAGTGCCTGTTTGATATTCATCAGTTTTTAGTTTTCATAACTAGACTGCCGTTGGTCTTGGGTTCCAAGATCGGCCAATATGGCTGCGGATCTTCTGGCGTTGCGGCAAAGTAGGGAGGTATGTGATAATATTTGGGTCAACAGACCCCCATCCTCCCTTGTTCATGTTCTGTGTAATGATGGTCTCCCTTGTCCCCATTAATTTCTTCCTGGCAGTATGAGGAGTGATATTTTTAGCATTTGGTGCGATGTCGTCTTTACCTCTTTGTACTGCTTTTCCTTAGTTGTTGCTGCTTGCTTTTGCCTCGGGGTAGGCTTCTTTGTATCTTTAGCATCTTTGCCCGGTCGTTAGTTATTCCAGTTCGCCAAAATAAAAACCTAGACTCTAGTGTTAATGGTTTAGGCCTTCTTATCCAGTAATAGGCCTACCGCACCTTCACTCGCCGGAAATCAAGCCCAGGAGCAGACTCATTAGAATAAACGGAAGTTAGCTAGTAATTAGATCCATTGGAGTTTCCCGGAGCGGCGCGATATTCAATCCGAACATGGCACAAGACCGATCTGGATCTGTTAATGTTTGGGTCGATAGTTGCTGGCTCCTTGGTAGTACGCTTCAACCCCACCATCCATCCTCAATTTCTTTCCAGCTACTTTCTTTCTCAGAGCTCCCTAATATCAAGTAGCTAGCTCACACTGTAATGTCATATTTTTGTGGGTTTCAACATCAATCAATGGCGACTACAGCCCTCGACTGTTTATTTATTGGACTGTACGTTAGTAGTTGATTTTATTTTTTAACTTTTTATTTAACGATATATTTACACTAATGAGTGAGGTTATAAATTTAAATTTAATTGTAAGTAGTTGAGTTTTTATTTTATTTTTTCACTTTTTCTTTGTTTGATGCCATGTTTCGCCTTTTCTTGTGTGGGAGTACCCAGGGCACTTAAAATGTAATGGCTTACAAAATGATAAAGATACTAAGGATGACTTTTGGGTTATAGATTTGGTTTTGAAGGGCATGGTGGTTGTGGTTGAGGAAATAATTAATAGGATTTAGAAATAAAAATAACAAATAAAATTGGAGTATGATTCTGTCCTCTGTTTTTTTTTCCTTCCCTTCCCTCCCCTCATATTTGAACAATCACGGTTAAACCACGTCAACATCTTATATTAATTTTTTATAAAACGAGAAATATAAAATAGAGAATGTGAGAGAAGGGGAAGGAAGGGGATGGAAAAAGGAAGGGAGAGAATCCTAGTCCAATAAAATTTCCCTATATTCTCTAGTTAAAAGTTCAATAGGAGATGCTAGCAATCTTCTGAGTCGAACTTTCTTATTTTACTTTTTAGGTTATCGTTTTAATCTTCCAATTTCGTTTGATGATTAATTTTTTTTAATTGCTAGGTTATATTTTATAGATCAACTTTGAAAAAGTTCAATCAAATAAGAAATTCTTCAAGCATTCAATTAACATTTTAAAATTTCAGTTTTGAGTGAGAAATTTGATTAAATCTATTTTATTGAAAAATTGTTATACAACTAAACAATTTCAGGTTTAGTAATTTTTTGCACAAATGATCTTTAAGGGCGGCCTAAAAATCAAATGAGAATGTCCAAATAAGATGAGAACTAGAGCTGAAAAGTAGAACTAGAATGTTTAAATAAAAAGGTTGCTAGTATTCTCTTAACATTAATTAAGCATACGTCCAACTTGTTTATCTTTTAACCCAAAAACGTATCCCCAATTAACTCACACAGGTTTTTCTGTATAAATTTTAGAGATAGTAGTTTCGGCTCCCAAATCTATTGAAAACTAAAGGAACAAAAAACAGAAGAGAGAAGAGGAGCGAGAGCGCTCTTAGCTGTTAAAACGAAACATCTCATTTCTTGTCCCACATCGACCGTTTCCAGATTACTAAAGCTGCTTATATGCCTAAACAATGACCAACTGTTCACGACCTTACTTGAACAGGATCTGTTCTATAGGATCGTACCTCTGTATCCTTGATTTCTAAGGAGACAGGAACTCAAACCTGGTTGATGAATCAGGACCGTGTGATCAGAGCGTGATTAACAATCGGATTGTCTCTGGATCATCTTGACTGTAGAGGATCGTTCTCAGCCAGTCTTCTCTGGCTGGGGTGGTCACTCGGTTGTCTGACAGGCTATAAATCTCTCCCCTTTTTTCATATTTTTGCGTCTTTTATTTTAGGGTTTGGATGAGCTCCCATCTTTTTATTGGTAGGGAATGAAACACTGAAGTTTATGATAAAATTAGTAAAGAAAAAATAAATCTATCGTTTATCAAAAAAATGATAAACACTAACTCTTTTTATTGGTAGGGAATGAAACACTAACTCTATCGTTTATAAAAAAAAAAAAAAAAAATGATTAAAATGAATCTATAAGAATACCTTCATTTAAAATTTCTTATTACATTTCTAGAATCAAAATCATCAATCACATTTTCAAAATCAAGCTTTGCAACATATCATTCTTAGTGCACAAGATTTGCCAATTCATTTGGCGTGTCATATATGCCATATTTAACCTAAAATAATTTTTCAATAACTTCAGTCGAATTATCTTTTATTTCAGTTTCTTGTTTTCTGAAAGAAATGAAACTAGGTTAAGAACTTAAAGATACTTGAAGTGAGATTGAGAGAGGTGTAATATATAATTAAATGTTTTTTGTTCGATCAAACATATATTCCATTTGGACCCGTATTGACACGCCCTGATCCCGATGTCCGGGGGACATTGGGATGGCCACGTGCTGGCTGACACTTGAGGGTAACGCAAGCCATTTTATGAATGCATATGCTGAGAACATGTAAAACATGCATATAATTCCATTGGAATTACTAATATAATAAAATAATATTCAACTGCCAACAATGAATCTAATGATAATGCATGACATGTTTAGAGCATACAACTAATCTAGAGTACAAGCGAAAGATAAAATAGAGAAGAACTATTACAATGACGTCAAAGCAGAAGAGATGACACGATATCACTAGTAAGGGAAAGCCTTGTAGTTCGGGTCATAATCCTCGTTCCTATATTCTGAGGGGGCGCAAAACAAACATGAGTAGACCAAGTTGATATACATAACAATAAAACAGTTATTCAACATACTAACCCAAAAAGTTTTATGAAAACTCATAGCATAATAAGTAATAGGTTTTTTCGGAAACCCTAGCATGCCATAAAACCTTTCATGAAACATATCTCGTATATAGTGTGCTAACTAGTGGTATCGGTATTAGTATTTCTCGGCCCGAAGCCATCACCATATATCTCTTGCCAGTCATATATCTCCCTCAACTATATATTTCCCTCAGCCATATATCTCCCTTGCCCGTAGGCAAAATAGTGACCACTAGATACACACAAAATCATTGAATATAGTCTTTCCAAACATAGGTACATATATCTCAAAACATCTTCATAGCATATTGTCATCCATCATATATACTACAAAGAACATCATTTCGATAAAATATGGTATTCCAAAATATTCTCAGTAAGCATAATATCTCATAAAATGTTTCATAAAACGTAGTCATTAAAACATGCTTTTCATGTATGCATTTCTACTAATAAAACATGCATTTTGGAAGGAGTCCACTAAAAAATACTCTGTCGTCGAAGAGCCGTATGAAATAGGAATGACGGAATCGCCGCTAATAATTGCACCTAAGCACATAAAGGGTACAATTAACAAAACTATACTCAAACGATTGAATTTCCGAAAACGGACGTCATAAATGGATTTAGGATGTTGAAAAACATAAAAAAGGACCTCGGGTACGGTCACATGCCACCCTACGCGCCAACACTTGAGGGTGACGCAAGCCTTTTTATGAATGCAAATGCTGAGAACATGTAAAACATGCGTATAATTCTGTTGGAAATACTAATATAATAAAATAATATTCAACTGCCAACAATGAATCTAATGATAATACATGACATGTTCAGAGCATACAACTAATCTATTTTACAAGCGGAAGATAAAATAGAGAAGAGCTATTACAATGATGTCAAAGCAGAAGAGATGACACGATATCATTGGTAGGGGAAAGCCTCGTAGTTCGTGTCGTAATCCTCATTCCTATGTCTTGAGGGGGCGCAAAACAAACATGAGTGGACCAAGTTGATATACATAATAATAAAATAGTTATTCAACATACTAACCCTCAAAGTTTAGCATACTAAGTAATAGGTTTTCCAAAAACCCTAGCATGCCATAAAACCTTTCATGAAACATATCTCGTATATAGTGTGCTAACTAGTGGTATTGGTATCAGTATTTCTCGCCCCAAAGCTATCAACATATATCCCCCTCAACCAATATCTCCCTCAACCATATATCTCCCTCGCCCATAGGCAAAACAGTGACCACTAGATATGCACAAAATCATTGAACATAGTCTTTCCAAACATAGGTACATATATCTCGAAACATCGTCATAGCATATAGTCATCCATCATATATACTACAAAGAAGTGTGTAAAAGCATGTTCATAAATAGTATATAGTCTCCATCATATATACTACAAGGACCATCATTTTGATAAAATATGGTATTCCAAAATATTCTTAGTAAACATAATATCTCATAAAACATAGTCATTAAAACATGCTTTTCATGTATGCATTCTACTAATAAAACAAGCATTTTGGAAGGGGTCAACACACAAATACTTCGTCGTCGAAGAGCCGTATGAAATAGGAATGACGGAATCGCTGCTAATAATTGCACCTAAGCACATAAAGGGTACAATAAACAAAACTATACTCAAACAATTGAATTTCGAAAAACGAACATCATAAATGGATTCAGGATGTCGAAAAGCATAAAAAGGGACCTTGGTTACGGTCATATGCCGCCTTACGCACCCTCACACCCGGCCACACGTGTCACCAGAAAATTCAACGACACCATTGTGGACGCAGCATGTGTGCTCCATGTGCCAACAACGGTGACCCTTCACGCGCAAGTCCACGCGCCTTCATGCACGACCTGATGTTCCTAGGTTCTCTTGGTTGGGTCGGATTGGGCTTAGGCTTATGTTCAGCAACCTCGGCTTTTCCATTGCGCTTGGGCTTAAAGGCCTGGCCCAAGTTCTATACGGCCCTAAAGGCCTTGGTTTGAAAGGGTTTGGGTTTTCAAATTGGCTGGGCTTGAAGGGTTGGCCCAAACTGAAAGTGTTTTGGGTTTTTATAAAAAATAAAAATAAACTAAAAGGATTTTGGGTTGGGTTTAAATGGCTAACGGGCCAAAGGTATGGGTCCTAAACAGGCCCAAAGGGCCTAGTTTATTGAGCTTGGGTCATTCGACCCATTTCTCATCAAGAACGAAGGCTAGAGCCGCCCGAGCTCCGATCGATGACGATCTACTCCTTAACCTACAATCTACCAAATAAAAAGACGATAGAGATGAGAGGGAGTAAATTGTTACCTTTAATATATCGTAGAAAGGCCGGAGGTGGCCAGATTTTGTTTGAAGGTCTCGGGGGTCGCCGTGGTTTCTCTGTGCTTCGCCGTGCTTCACAGAGATGAAGGAAGAAGAGATAATCCAGTCGACGAAGTTGGGGGTGTTGTCGTCGTCGGGGTGGTGGGTTCGATGGTGGAGTGGGTAGCTCAGGGAGGGAGAGTGTGAGAAAGATTCAAGAGAGAGAGAGAGAGAGCTGAGAGAGTGAGAGATTTGAGAGAGAGAGACAGAGAGAGATCGAGGAGAAGAGAGAGGGTAAGGGTGAGTGCTTGTCACGTGGCAAGCAGAGAGAGGAGGAGAAGTTTAGAAAATCTAAAAAGAGGATTTTGATTTGGTAGAGGATAAGGGACCAAATTGCATCTCCAATAAAACTTTAGGGGAAAAAAATGAAATTACAATAATTTTGGGGTGGGGTTTAACACGTACACCATACAAGATTTGGATCCTTAAAGAAAAACAACACAATGTTGAGCTCTAAAATATTTCTTTTATAGTTCCTAATAATATTATTTAAATTTCTTGGAAATTTGGAAAAATAATAATAATAATTTTTGGGAAATTTGGAAAAATAACCAAAATGTGGACCCCATATAGAATTATAGCCATCCTTTTAATTTTATTATAATTAGAACAAAAAATTGGTATAAAAATACAATTATACCCTTTTAACAATGAGGGAAGCAATTACGCCCACCATTGCAAAGATTAGAGCTGTAACCACAAAACTCGTTTTGGTGTTATTTGATTCCAACACATTTTCTTCTGGAAATCAACTCCGCAAATAGTTGATCTACAAAATGCACAATCTTGTTGCTATAAATCTTGTTACAGATTAGTTCCCAATTTGATTTTAACGTGTACTTAAATCTAATTTGATCTTCAACAAAGAGAAATGCAAGAGGGAAAGAAAGGGGGAGAGCTTACTACTTAGTGGTTACCTTGAATAAATGATATGATTGTCTTCGAAATACAAATTGTAACGTTGTGTGAGGCTCCAACGTTTGGGTTTTGCTGGGATGGGAAGAAGATGACAAAGATTGGGATTTTTGAAAAATTTAGAAAAGTAACTGTTAATATTAGATGGAAAAATAAACAAGAGCTTAATAAAACTTCTCATCAGAAATTGGCTGAGCTTTTGAGCTTTTTGAGAGGGTTGGAATTGTCTAGGTTGCTGAAGTGAGGCTTTGAATTTTTTTGGATTTGTTTTGTAAAAAGTTTTAATCATAAGGGTGTATTAGTACTTTTATATTAGATTTTGGTTATTTTTCCAAATTTCCCAAAAATTTTAGGCCCTTGTGATTCGAGGCCCTAGGCGGTCCCACCCTTCCTCAGAGACGGTCCGTAAATGTGTTGTCAACTCAACTCCCTAGAAAAGGACTCTTAACCAAGATGGGAAAACTTCAAAAGTAAATCCTTCCAAGAAAGAAAGGGATAATCAAAGAAAAGAGTAAGGTATGAAAGAAATAGTAAAGTCTATGAACAAAAGATTACTTTCTTGTCTTGTGACTTTCCTGTTTTGAGTACAATTACGATTCGTTTCTTGAACTTATAATATGCAGAGAAACGTTGAATCCCAGAGAAAACTAGATTCCAAGGCATTTCGACCGGAGTAGTGGCAATGCCTATCGATCCGGTTGAAGGAAGATGCATGCATCGTGGTGTTATTTATTTCCCATGCTTTATATCTATATATACGTACACAGGACCTTTATTTTTGGATAAGAAGTTGTAAAAGTTGATTTCTCACTCACACTGAAAAGCAAAGACACTTTGATCATTGTCAATGGACTTCTCAGCTATCCACTTATTCCTCATCTCCCTAGGAACCCTCTCACTCGCCTTCTTTCTCAAACTCATCCCATTCCGATTCCCCCCAATCCCATTCCGGATGGCATCCAAGTCCAAAATCCTCTTCATTGGTGGCACCGGCTACATTGGAAAGTTCATTGTCGAGGCTAGCGCCAAGGCCGGCCACTCCACCTACGTTCTGGTCCGAGAAACTACCCTCTCCAACCCGGCAAAGTCCAAAGTCATCGAGAACTTCAAGGCTCTGGGCGTCAACTTCGTCCTGGTTTGTATTAATATCATTTTCTAGCCTTTTAACCCGATTAGCCAATTGGGTTTTGCTTGATTTGTTCTTTTTTTTTTTAATATAATTTGCAGGGTGATCTGTACAATCACGAGAGCTTGGTGAAGGCGATCAAGCAAGTCGACGTGGTGATCTCGACGGTGGGGCACGCGCAGTTGGCTGATCAGGGCAAGATCATTGCTGCCATTAAAAAAGCAGGCAATGTTAAGGTGAAACTTCTGAATTTTTTTGGGTTACTCTGTTTTTTGTAATTTTTTTTTGTTTTTGTTTTTGTTTTTTTTGTTTTTTTCTGTAAATTGCGATTGTGATGTATGAATTGGATTGCAGAGATTTTTCCCCTCGGAGTTTGGAAATGACGTCGACCGAGTTCACGCTGTTGAGCCTGCCAAATCGGCGTTTGAGACCAAGGCCAAGATTCGCAGAGCTGTGGAGGCTGAGGGGATTCCTTACACCTATGTGTCCTCCAACTTCTTTGCTGGTTACTTCTTACCTACTTTGAACCAGCCCGGAGCTTCTTCCCCTCCTAGGGACAAAGTCGTCATTTTGGGCGATGGAAACCCCAAAGGTAAAAACCTATCTTGCACAACACGGACACAAATATGAGGACATGCGACACGGTGACATAACCATACGAAAAATCTCAATAAAAAAAGTGATTAAAATATAATAAATATTACATATATTAAAAATAATTCTTCGAATTCATAATATAACAAAATGCTCATGCTAAATGCTAAATGCTTCACATAGGATGCAGAACAAAGATATGACTGAAGTTAGGTTGAGGTTGGAGACTCTTTTAGATTTTAATTTCCATATTTCCAAAGTTGCCCCAAAATGTTTTTTAAATTTTCAAAAAGGCCCAAGCCATGTCTGATCTTGTTCAAGCTGTGTCTTGACCGTGTCCAAGTCGTTGACTGCATCCGAGTCATGTCTGGGGCGTGTCGGGTTGTCGGAGTGTACACTTCAGGGTTTTGGTGTCTATGCAACCTAAGGTAAAACCTAAAACTAAACCTTGGGTTTTGAACAGATGTATTTTCTGGGGTTTCATTTTATTTCAATTTACTGCACAAAACCCACTTTGGCTTTTGGTAACTTGTTCAGCAATGAGTAATTGCTATACATATGTTGGTTAGGCTAGTAGGTCAGGACTCTATGCACGCCATTCTTGCACATAAATTTGATGTGTGCATGCCTTTTTTGGAACAAAATTTGATTTCTCCTCTGCGTAGAGTAGTATTTAAAGGATTACTTTGTCAAAAGAAAAAAAAATTTGAGTAGTAGTTATGGGGTTGAATTTCTTTGGGTTGCTGCATAAAGCCCACATTTGCGTTTTCGAAAATGTAATGGGGGGTTTCGTTTTATTTGATTTGAAGCAATTTTCAACAAGGAAGACGACATTGGGACGTACACAATTAGGGCAGTGGATGACCCAAGAACCTTGAACAAAGTCCTCTACATCAGGCCCCCTGCCAACACCATCTCATTCAATGAGCTTGTCTCTCTGTGGGAGAAGAAGATTGGCAAAACCCTCGAGAGAATCTATGTCCCGGAGGAGCAGCTGCTCAAGAACATCCAAGGTTAGTGGCAATCAATGTCATTCTGGGAACAACTGATTTGAATTTTCTTGCTTGTTTCAAACATTTTGAGATAAATTTAAAATTGTTTGGTTTATTTTTGTGTTCTTTTTGCAGAGGCAGTTGTGCCGCTCAATGTGATACTATCAATTGGCCACTCAGTTTTTGTGAAGGGAGACCACACTAACTTTGAGATCGAGCCCTCATTTGGCGTGGAAGCCACAGCCCTTTACCCTGATGTCAAATACACCACCGTCGAGGAGTACCTCAACCAGTTTGTCTGAGATTTGAAAGGGTGTTGGTGGTTTTATACGAGTGAAACTGACTACCCTTGCAAATAATTAGTAGGTAGTTTGGTGATTAATGTATCTCAGGTTGTGTGGAAATAACTGGCATATTGGGACAGTTGATTTCCCTTTGTGTCATCTTGTTTGTTGATGAACTCTCTGTGCTACCTTTTGTTAAATGATGGAAAAGACGGGTTGTATATTTCTTCCCTCCTGATTCTGGTTTTAGAGTTAGCTAGGGTTCCAACTTCTTGTACCTTATTTAGCTACCGACATTGAATATGGTCGTACGTGGAGACACATAACACATCTATCTCTTTTCCGTTGGAAAGCTCTTCAATACACAATATTAAGGCATGTTAGATCATCCATAATGGGGGATACATAATGCCTTGAAATGGGCATTTCATAAATCAGAATGAAAATTATCCAGTTTTGACGGAAGATGTAAATAATAATGTGATCTCAAAGGATGTAAATAATAGAGAGCCTTGCGTAGAGCAGGAGGCTCTCTCTTTTTTTAGTTTCTTGTATTCCGAAAGAATTGAAACTAGGTTAAGAACTTAAAGATACTTGAAGGGTGATTGAGAATGAGAGAATGTTGTTTGCACGCTAGGTTTGGGAAAGAGAGAGGTGTAATGTATAATTAAATGTTTTTTGTTCGATCAAATGTATATTCCGTTTGGACCCGTACACTATACTAGAATTGAATCCTTATAAATAAAAAGAACACAATATTGAGCTCTAAAATGTTTCTTTTATAGTTCCTAATAATATTATTTACATTTCTTATCTTTTCCGTAATAAAAAAAATTTAGCTAGTGCCCCCTTTCATTCGAGGCCCTAGGTGGTCGAACTTCCCACCATTGCTTAGAAACGGCCCTGCAAATGTGTTGTCAACTCTCAAGAAAAGGACTCGTCCAAGCTGGGAAACCTTTAAAAGTAAAGCCTTCCAAGAGAGAAAGGGATAATCAAAGAAAACAACGGATGAAAGAAATGGTAAAGTCTATGAACAAAATATTATTATTTTGTCTTATGACTTTCCTGCTTTTAGTACAATTACGATTTGTTTCTTGAACTCATAATATACAAAGAAAAGTTGAATCCTAAAGAAAAAAAAAGGGAGAAAACCAGATTCCAAGGCATTTCGACCGGAGTAGCAGTAATGCCTATCGATCCGGTTTAAGGAAGATACATGCATTGTGGTATTTTTGTGAATCTTAATCCTCTCTCTATCAGCTTCTTGTTATTTCCCGTGCTTTATAGCTTTATATACATACATATGACATTTATTTTTGGATAAGAAGTTGCAAAAAAAGTTGATTTCAGGCAACTTTTCTACTACTACTCTTTGAAATTGAACTAATGGATTTGTATGAGGTTTGACGAAGATTGTTCTTGAAAGAAACAAAATAAATCAATTGAGGAAGATTGTTCTTAAAAGAACAAAATAAATCAAAGCACAGTGTAAATTTTGATGATTCCTCCTTATAGAGCTAATGCAGATTTTCTTATGAAGGTGAGATAGCAACTCCGTCTACTTAGTACTCTTATTTGTCAGGTTTTTTGGTATGACTGACCACCCCTAGATTCAAATCATATACTCGTGTTGAAAGAAGTACAGGGTTCAAGTTGCATCTGCAACTCTCCACTTTGCATCCTTCTCTTTAATTCTAGGTTTTATGTTTTCCTAGTAACTTGTAACTAGGATCAATCAATCAATCTATCTTGTAACTTGCAACTAGGGCTAGCTGTTTTATCTGTTGTTTCCTTCAGTGGCATGTTACCTTAGTTTGTCCAATGGCTTTTAGCTTTGCTCAGTCTCTCTATAAGAGCCCTCACTTGTAAATCAAACATACGATGAAATACACAAAACAAAGTTTAATCCAGAATTCAATATGGTATCAGAGCAGGAACCTTAATTGGCCTGCTTCTGATTGATCCACCTTTGTTGTTCTTTCTTCTGATTATTTAAAATCATGGCAGAAGAAAATCCTTTTAGTTTAGAGGCTACTAGTTCCTCTACTTCATCTCCCAACTTAATTCATGGTAAGATCAATCCAAACCAAAGGTTGTGCTTAGTTCTATTGAATGAATTCAACTACCTTCCTTGGTCTCAAGCTGTGACTTTTGCCCTAGGAGAAGGTCAAAGTTAGGATACATCAATGGTAAGATTGAACCTCCTACATCTACCTCTCCCATGTATGATGCATGGCTGTGTGATGATCAGCTAATTATGTCTTAGGTTCTCAACTCCATGGAGCCCAAGTTATATGAGCTTTTTAGTTGCTCAGAATTTTCACATCTTCTTTGTGAAGCTATCAAAGAGATGTATGGAAGCCAAAACAACGTTGCTTGCGTTTTCCAGCTCAAAAAGAGCCTTGTTAGTCTGAAGCAAGGTGATCAAACCTTTGTTCAACACCTTGGAAGCTTGAAGACCATGTGGAATGAACTCGATTTGTATCGTCCACATACTAGTGATTCTGTTGTGCTCTTGAGGAGAGTTAATGAAGACAAGGTTTTTCAACTCCTAGCTAGTTTGGGATCTGAATATGAAGACCTTTGCAGCCATTTCCTAATGACTCCTGAGCTTTCTTCTTTTGTGAGTGTGTGCCATGCTGTCCAATGAGAAGAAACTCCCAGGAAAGTGATGAGTGTTGATATCAAGCCTAACTCAGAGGCTAAAGTTTTCTCTGTCAACCACAAGCCAACTGGAGACAAACAACAGTTAAAGGGAAAAAAAATCAGAATGGTGAGAATGAAAGTGCACCTATTGCAATGGAGGTGGTCATGTGAGGGAGAAGTGCTAGATCTTGCACCCATAACTGAGACCGAAGTTTGAAAAAGCAAACAAGTTCTTGAGAGATGCCAAGGGTCATTTCAATAGTCACTCACAAGCTCACACACCCAAAGCATATCATGCAGCCATCACATCAATTGATGGACTGGTAAACTTCACCTCAAATCCAGTTACCTTAATTAATGAGTTTGTTTCTTATATCCAAAGGAAGAAAGGGAGCACTAAGAGTGAAGACAAAGCAACTGAGAATCCCACAGCTTTACTTGGCAAGTTTGCTAGTTTCTACCGCAAGGACATATCCCAGGTATAATAAGTGTTCTCTCAACAGTTCTTAATGTAAAAACTTTCCATGATTTTTGGATTATAGACGCATGTGCCACTGACTATATGACCAACAAGTCATCTAGCTTGCATGTGTCTATAGCCAATGGTAAGGGGGAGCGTGTCTTAGGCAAAGGGAAAATCAGTTTAATGGGTGATAAGGTGAAGTCAACTGCATTTTTTGTTCCTTCCTTCCTTTTTTAACTTCTATCTATTGGAAGAATCACAAATACCCTAGATTGCCTTGAAATTTTCTCCCCTCATAATGTTGTCTTTTAGGATGGAATCACTAAGAGGAAGATTGGTGAAGGGATCTACTTGAATGGTTTGTACTATCAGTCAAAGGATTTTAGTGTTGTCAAAGAGTCCTTTGCCAGTTTAAGCATCCCACAAGAACACCAACTTTCGCATCAATGTCTAGCTCACCCTTCATAACCAGTGTTGTCTTTTTTGTTTCCAAATATTTGTAAGGATTCACATGATTGTAAAACATGTCAACTCTCAAAATCTACTAGGCTTCCTTTTGTAACATCCAAGTCTAGAACTAGCAAATTATTTGAAATAGTTCATTCTGATGTATGGGGTCCTTCTAGGATTGAATCATTTGAGGGATATAGGTACTATGTTACCTTTTGATGATTACTCTAGGTTTACATGGTTGTACCTTTTGAAGTTTAAGAGTGAAGTGTTTGATGCAATTAACAATTTTCACAAGCTAGTTACAAATCATTTCTCTACTAAAATACATACATTACAATCAGACAATGGCATTGAGTATACATCCAATATCATGTTAAATTATGTAAGCACACATGGCATTATGCACCAAACTAGTTGTGCAGGTACACCAAAACAAAATGGTGTAGCCGAGATGAAGAATCGGGATTTATTGGAGAAAACTAGGTCTCTAATGTTCCAAATGAATGTGCCTAAAAGGTTTTGATCTCAAGGAATTCTTGCAGCCACCTACATTATTAACAAATTGCCAAGTAGTGTGTTGAATTCTAGGTCTTCATATGAAGTCACAAAAGAAAGAACTGTTGATCTCTCCCATCTTAAGATATTTGGATGCACTTGTTTTGTTCATATTCGAGTTGCACACCGAGACAAATTGAAACCTTGAGCAACCAAGTGTGTACTCATGGGTTATTCTAGCTCTCAGAAGGGTTACAAGTGTTATAATCCAAGCACTCGCAAGATAATTGTATCCAAAGATGTGAGATTTGATGAGTTCACTCCTTATTTCTGCAAAAATCCAGAGGCTATTTCTCAAAGGGAGACCTTATCGGAACTGTTCCCTTTACCTACTTTAGCTGAAGTGCATGAGTGCAGTACTTCATTGCTATCCAATGATCCCACTAATGAAAGTGAAATCAGTAATGATGCTTCTGAATCTGTTCCAACTCAAGATCAAAGTCAAGAAGTTATGCAACCTAGTCCAAGGAGAAATCCTACCAGAGATCGACATCATCTTTCTAGATTCCAATAGCATGTGACTTACATTTCAAGACACCCTATTTCCAAAGCTGTCACTTATCAAAACTTGTCTCAATCTCATGCCTCATTTCTCAGTCAGTTGTCAACTGAAAGTGAGCCAAAAAGTTCCCAAGAAACAAGAGACAAACATTTGTGGCAGCAAGCTATAAGTGAAGAACTCAAGGCTTTAGATGACAACCAAACTTGGAGTGTTGTCAAGCTTCCAAAAGGAAAACAAGTTGTGGGAAACCGATGGATATACAAGACCAAATTTCACTCTAATGGTTCGATTGAGAGGCACAAAGCTAGACTAGTAGCTAAGGGATTCACTCAAACTTATGGCATTGAATACAAGGAGACCTTTACTCTAGTTGCTAAGATGAACACTGTGAGAGTTCTTATTTCTATGACAGTTAACCATGAGTGGCTATTGTTCCAAATGGATGTGAATAATGCATTTCTTCAAGGTGAACTTGAAAAAGAGGTGTATATGAAATTAACACCTGGTCACTTCCAAAAAAATGAACCTAATGTGGTTTGCAAGTTCCATAAAGCCACATAGGGACTCAAACAATCCGCTTAAGCATGGTACTCCAAATTGAGCTCAGTATTTG